AATGTTCTTGAACTGTTGGTAAAGATACTGTATATTGTAGGTTACTTCTATCATGGATTCATGGTATCTACGTAACCCGAAATGTTCGCTAGTAGAGGCGTTTGTATCCTGAGGTACCACTGTAAGTTCTTTTGAGCACCCTTTTAATTTGCAATTATTGTTGCACCTAAGAATCTCTAGCTAGAGGTGCAACCAGGGTAATACAAACGCTAGAAGCATCTAATGCTTTCACCCACCATACAACTTTCCGTTCATCCCCAGCAGAGAACTTTAATTCCCTTTCCCACCTTTGGTCCTCAGAAAGCTGCTGCTGGTGGTAGAAGGCCAAGTGGAAGGATGGATTCAGGCAAAGGCTGTATCCCTGACATGACTCTTGCAGATAACAGATGCAGGAGAGGATTGCTGCTTCCTGGAGAAAAAAACCAAAGAGTGGGGTATATGACAGAGTCATGCTGTTGCTGTGGTTGTACACCTGTTCACTCTCTTGGTGACAAGGAGTACGGCCCCTCCTTCCATTCTAGGAAATGTTAGTTCCTACCCTTATCCTTCATCCCTCCAGTTCTTCCACCTTAGATTTACCTTGCGCCTCTTCTCAAAGTTAATGAGGTGGCCCTATGGAATTGGAAAAAGAAAGCAAAACGGAGACTGTGGGCAGTGCATGGAGACAGAACTTAAGCTGCAGCTAGTTGAACCAGCCCCCACTAATCCCTTTGTGTGCAGAGTTTCAGGCTCAATCATCCCCAGTTTTTTCAGCTAAAAGGAATTCAAATTCCTCAGCAGAGCTGAGACCTTAGACCGTTGTGGCCAGCTAGAAAAGTAAGAAAGAAACTTGTGACATTTTAAAGAGTAAACAAAGGTATTGGGACATAGGATAGACTGGGTAACACTACATCTGACACAAGACAAAGGCAGCCCCCTAGCAGTTGCTGAGATGTTCTCCCCTTCCCAACTCACACACCCCCACACGCTTTCAGAGGTTGCACTGAGAAGAAAAGAACTGCTGTCCAGCCATGCTGCCTTCTTCCTTTCCACTTCATCAGTGGCTTCTGGGTGCAGAGGCATGTTTAGGAAAGAAAGAAGGCTGAGAAGCTCTTTCAGCCCAATAGGACATTCTCCTTCCACCTCTTTCAGCCCTCTTTCAAAGATGCTCACCTCCACAAAATCTGGCAGTGCTGTATCCAGCATGATCAGGTCAGTTAAAAAGGTGCCAAGGTATGGGATGGTAGGAGTCTGCAACAAAAAATTGGATCCATTAGATGCCATAACATTAGCAGTGCCAAGCAAGGAAGAAGGATAATATAATTTTCTCTCACTCCTTGTGGAATCCCACTCACCCACCTGTAAAAGATTACTTGATCCTTTAAAGTTACTTGAACTTTGATCTAAGGTAGCGTGGAAGAGATTGAATGTTCCTTTCCTAGTGTCCTGCATGACCCTTTGCCATTACCTTCCATCAAAGGGCAAAGACAACCCTGGCTGGATGCAACCAAGGAGGCAAAGCTCTTACCATTTGCTCTAGTTGAAGTCTCACCTTCAGAGAAGTCCTGACTGGTGTTTGATGATTTCTCCATCCATCACAAGGACCCTGAGTACCTCCTTCCTACAGAAGAGACCCAGAGGGCAAACTGATGTTAGATGGTTCAAATTAAAATATACCAACTGACCACCTTAAACTACACCCAGAATCAGTCAGTGAAAAATGTCAGTAGTTTTTCCTTTCATGAGAGATGCTACACTCAGCTGAACCTCAGGCTGAAACCAACCAACCAACAAATCACTACCTTGCCTTAAAAATGTGGCAATCCTACAAGGTTTTCATCTGGCATAATGTTGCCTCCGCAATGACTCTGAAGTCCACTGCTCCATCTGATGGTGACGGAAGCACGTGCACTAATGGAGAGGAATCAAGGAAGTGTCATTAGGGAGGCCAGGAGATACTAAGAAGGGCAGAGTTCAGATAGCTTTCATTTCGGTATGTTCTCTAAAGGGGCAGCATATTTCCAGTTGCAGGTATCTTTGTAGATATCCTTTGCTTTGTCAGTAAATCAGGCAAAAAAGGAGGAGGGGGAAAAGGACAAGTTGATGCTTGATTCCTATAATTGGCATTCAGTTATCATTTTGGGTGAGAACCTTCTTTAATTTTCTTTTAATATTTTTCCTCTTCTGTGCAGCTGACCAAAATACAGAAGCCACTCTCACCGTGCCACCAACTCACATCTGGAGCGGTTCATGGATGCCACATAGCTAACTATCCCTAGTGCATGTTAAATAGCCAACCGCACCTAGGAACTAAACATACCCATTTCATTACAAATAAAAAACTAACACAACTGCACCCTTTCTGATGCCAGACATACAATACCAGCCATCCACCCCTTGTATTAGTTCTGTTTAACTTTTTCTTCTATGGCCATTCCTAAGAAATGGCAGCTGGAGAAGGAATTAGTGGATTAAGAAAATGGGACGAACTGAAAATCTTAAACCACCTATCACCCTAGCTGTTTATTTGAAAAAAATGGGCATTTGGATAAGCTAAGGCTATAGTGCTACACCTACTATCCTGGGGCTAAGCCTGATGAAAATAATTGGGACCTGCTTCTGAGTACACAGTGAATTTCAACAAGTTTAGAGAAGTACTAAGTGGAGTGGGATCCCATAGACTGAAATCCTCAGGACAAAGAGAGTGCTGGAGCGTTGGGAACTTCTTGAAAATAAAAACTTGGATGAAAAATTACACATAATTCCAATGAGAAAAAAAGTAGAGAAAATGGTTGTGAAAGAATATGGGGTTTTGACTGAGAAAAGAATTAAATTAAAGCAGGAAGAATGTCTTAAAGGTTATCAGATTGCCTTAGGAGATGGGGTTTTTTCCTTTGCTGGGGCTACTTAAAGAGAAGCTAAAAGGCCACCTGTTGGAGATATTGTAACAGTAGATTCCTGCACTGAGCAAGGAGGTGACCCAGAACAGTGTTTCTTAAACTTTTTGCTCTCAGGACCCCATCTCACTTTTAAAAATTATGGAGGACCCCCAAAAAACTTATGTTTGTATGGGTTATATTTATCAATGCTTACCATATTAAATATTAAAACTGACACATTCATAGAATATTTATTTACTGAATCATGTAAAAATATCATTATTAAACCTATTAGATATTAACATAAATGAAATATTTTTCATGAAAAAATCCTGTTTTTTAACAAATTAAAAATAACAATGAGAAGAGTGACATTGCTTTAATTTCTTGCAAATATCTTCAATATCTGGCAAATAATTTTGATTTCGCAGACCCTTGAGAAGGTCTTGGGGGACTCCTAGGGGTCCTCGGACCACACATTAAGAACTGCTGGCCTAGAGGATATCATCCCTTACATGCTAATTATTCTACGATTACATGGTAAGTAGAGTACCAGATCTTGGCCGCAAAGTTCTGGAGACCCACTAGATGGCAGCAAAGAAATACAGAAATTATAACTCTTTGCTGATGGAGAGTGATTCCCTGGATTTTTGCAGCTGTGATATGGGAGCCCCCTTAAATCAGAAACTCAGAAGGAAGTGCCACAGGCCTCAGCGGGCAGATCTTCACTACAAGTGGAGCTCAGAAATCAAAACGTTCTGTTATGAAATAAATCTATCACATCAAAAACGAATGTGAGAGAAAAGGAATTTTCTGTTTGTTACTGTTTTTACTTGCTTTGCAGAGGCATTCAGTCATGTGAGTCTGTACTTGAACTTTAAACTTATTCAATCCAGACACAGATTGAGCAGCTCAAAGAGAACAGAAAGGAATGTAAGCTGTACCTTTAGCAAAGAATCTGAAAACTAAAGTGGAGATTTCCAAATATTCTGAAATATTGGTCTCTTTCAAATACTCTGTCCCAGCTTGCTAAATCATCATCATGCAACTACTGGAACCACAAGAGTCCCTTCTTGCCTCTCCCCTCTTTTTTTCTCCTTTCAGCCTACTTCAAGGAAGAGAGTAGAGTAGAGTAGACGAGAAAAGGGAGGAGACAGTCCCAGTGTTCCTTTCCAGCAGATAAATTATGATGTAGTCAGCCGAGAAATGAGCATAGCAACTTGAGCCAATTCTTTTAACTAGTTATTTGGTACTTAAATAAATGAACGTGGAACTCAGAAGCTGCAGAACGGCAACTAATTAACAAAGGTGTCAGATTCAGCTCTGTGAAACCCTAATGACCCAGCTCAGTGGTCTCCTCTACTGATTGGCCTGACAGCCCGCCATCCTTCCATTTATATGCGTCCTTCTGTCAACCCTGAGAGCAGGGAAGTCTCCTCTGGTTGATGTTCCTGTGCTCATATGGGAATAGCCTGCTCTTCTAACCTCCACGTGATGGAAGGAGAGGGATGCATGGGGAAAAGGGAACAATGAATACCTTTCTCCATTTGCAGGAGAGGGTGGGAAGTTATTGTTCACTGACTTATTTGTCCTGCAGGTGAACGTTGGCGGGGGTAGGGTGGGGATATCTTTGGTGAAAGGATAGGCTTCCCTATTGGCTGGAGGAGGAAGTTGGTGCCTTTGGCCCCAGGTGAAACAGAGTGCCATAGTCAGTTTTGAGTGAGCCCTCTCCACCCTTAAACAGAACTGACTAAATCCTGCTCAGCGTTCATGGAGGCAGATCCTGCCATTTGGAAAACCACACTTGTACACTGCATTCCCTTTCCTTCTTCTCAGAAGACACAGGCCCTACCTGCAGTAGGATTTCTCGGCAGTTCAAGTGATTGTGGTCTTCGGAGAAGATCTGTGAGAGCTTTCGAAAGGAGCTCCTGGTGTCTCTGTGGGATAACATGCAGAGTTGCCTGAAATGTGGTCAGTCCAATGAGCCAGTTCTCCCTTTCTTGTAGAATTTTGCTCTCCAGGAAAATCCCTGGGAACTGCCATGATGTTGTGGCCTTTTGCCAAAGGGAAGGGAAGCCTGGTGGCAATGTGGGATGTTTGACCAGCCTCTGCCCTCCCTCTTCTCATTCCCTTACAAAGGCTCACCTGTTGACTGCAGCCCAGGTGCGCTTTAGTCGGTAAATAGAGTTGGACTGGAGAGCAGAGAGGATGGCATACAGCGAGGAGAAATTCCTCAAGGCCCGGCATCGCTGGAAGTTTGGCGTCAGGGAGGAAGAGATGAACAGTTCAGCAAAGGGGGAAAGATTATAGTCATGTGCACAAAGGTTGTAAAAGAGAGAGAGGAAGAGAGAGAGGCACAATCAGTTAAATAAGAGCATAATCGTAATTGGTTTAATCAAATAAATCCAGTGTTAAGCAGAGGGCTGAATTTAAAATGAAAATGTGTGTTTTTTAATATTTTGAAACTGGCAATCATTTGTAAATTGGAAGTTATCTCACATTTTTTAGCAACCCAGGAATGGAAGTTCTGAAAATGTACACCCAAAATTAAATTTATATTTTTAAATATGATTAATAAATGAATATTTAAATTTGTTAATTTCCCTAATTTAAGGCAATTTATTAAGATAGTTTTCATGTTCAATACATTCAACATAGGTCAAGGTTGCTTTTTTTTTTAATCAAAGCAACCTGGGCCTTTGGCCTGCAGAATATTGAGGCCTATCTTTATAACCCAACCATTCATTGTGAAGGAACAGAGGAATGAGCATGATAATTAAAACAAACTATTGATCATTGTGACGTGGGAACAGATTGAATCGAGATTTGTCTAAATATGACGAAATTGGATTCAGCCTATTACTGTCCAAGAGAGCTCCCACTTGTGCCTTGTTCATTGCCATGCCTACTCTGACCTTTCCTCATGTACCTGCCCGCAGAACATTGCCTGAGATACTTCAACACTACAGCACTGTGTGACCTGAGACTTCCTTAGAGGACTATAAAGTCATTTGCTGTGCCCATCCAAAGGCATCCAAGAAGCCCCACCAGATTTTATGGAGTTTAAAAGAGGTGTTTACTCTGACATCCAGCTGACCAGTTCTGGGGCCTTTGCCCCAGTACCTCTGCCCTTTTCTCTCTAGCCATACTAGCAATTGGCCAGTGTGGGTCCCCACTTCTGTGACCATCAAGCATGCTCAATTCTCCCTCTTGCAGTTTTCCACTCCATTTTTTTTTATTCATCCAGAAAACTCAGGGTGCTTTTACTTCAGGGAACAGAAATATGTACAGGCTCAGAGCACACAATAACTAAGAATTCACATCATGCAGAAAAATAACAAGAAAATCCTTTCAGGGATGTGAACTGAAAAGGTTGCAAGAGGCATTAGTGGTAAACATTGACGGGAAATATGGGAAGTTTGTCACAGATAAGGAATGCACCTGGGCAATCACTACATCTCTGGCTCCCAGTTCCCCAAGAGATCAAATATGCAATCCCTAGCACCATGCTCAGCCCTGAGAGCCTTCTTCATCTTTCCCACTACCACACTCTGGCCCTCTCCCTTACTCCAGCAATTTGGATCCATTTCTCCAGCAGGTGCGCACGCTGGGGAATGCGCATGGCCAGATCCCCAAGCACAGACGTGATGACACAGCTGGTGACTGCATTGAACTGGGTCACGGTAGCACGGACACTGGGAGCCATGTGTTGATTCTCCTTCTTGTCTCGCTGGGACCAGATGCAGCCAAGGCAGTGGAAGGGTAGCACTGCTCTAAAGAGGTGCTGGGGGAAGGGAAGGTGAAGGAAGGAACTCAGCTTGGTGCCATTCAGTGCATTAACTGATTTCAGAACAGGTTTTCAAATTCCAAGGCATGAAATAGGCATATTAAAAAGCAACGTACCCACCCCAAACTCACCCCCATGGCAGCCAACTCTCGTCCATTTTATGGTCCTTAGTACCCCTCTTCCCAACATTAAATGTAGCCCATGGCCACCAAAAGGTTGCCCACTGTAAAAAGTGACACAGATCCTCTTTTCTGTCATCAAGCCAATTTCAAAAGGGTTTCAAAACTACCCTGCCCAATCATAACCATAGACTGCGTTCTTTTTCAACTTATTTTCAATCCCTGGCCCCAACAGATCTTACAGCATCCATCAATGTCAGCTGCTCAGCCACTTCATCCACAGAGAAGGACAGCAGCGCTGGTATCTCCTCACAGTCATCTGCCCCATCTGCCTCTGTGATCATCTGTGACTGTCCCATCCCTGGGGAGTTGCCTCCTATAAGAAAATAATGTAATCTCTAGAAAGAAGAAGATCCAAGCAATGGCTGCAAGGAAGCCATCACACCAGACCAAAATACCTGCATCCAAAATAATCATACCACATTAGCTTTAAATATATGCTTCCTCAAGAACCTCTGGACCCCAAGAATCGTGGGAGATGATGTGCAAGCTGTGAACTGTTTTAGGACTATGTTATAAACAGTCTTCTAAAGTTCCCTTTGGATCATGTACCACTATATGCCTGATGTAAGTCTAGGGGGGTAAAAACCTCCACTAGCAATTGAACTTTTGGACCTTTGCACTTCAGGTGACTTCATACAGTGCATTAACTTTAGGAGGTATCCAAGTCCTGGTACTCACTGGGCACAAGAAGGGAAATATAGAATCTATCTGAACAGCATATGCAGTCTACCACCCCTTAAGCTCTCAGAGTAGAGAGACAGGAATGTTACATTGAATCATGCCCCCATGTATGGGGTTTTACATGACTTCCACATCATGTAACATCTGTATCTCTCTACTCTGAGAGCTTAAGGGACTGTATATACCATTCTGATAAATTTAATGCCTGAAATGACTGTTCAATTTCTTGTCTGCCCTGACAAGTTTTAACATCTGCAGCAAAACAGAATGCAGCTTCTCTGTCCCTCATTCCTCTCAGTCCACAAATTGCATATAATCTAAGAAGTCATAATCCAGCATGATCAGATAATCAGCAGATTCCTGGCTTCTGTTAAAAGAGTAGATGCAGCTATGTCTGGGAGGGCCTTTGTACACATTATTTTTATGTGCCAATTGCCCCTGTTCCTGGGTCAGGGAGCCCTACTTACAGCTACCTCTCATCTGGACTATGCAGCATACTTTATATGGGGCTGCTGTTGAAGTGTACTGGGAAGCTACAGCTGGTCCAGAAGACAGCAGCATAAGTAGTAATGGGTGCACTTTGGTAACTCCAGATAACATAACTACTGTATGAGCCACAGTGGTTCCAGGTGCAATTCTAAGGTACTGGTGGTTACCTATAAAGCCTTACATGGCATAGGGCCTGGATATTTGTGGGATCTTCTGTCTCAAATTATCTTTGTTCATCCTACAATAAGTGACAGAGTTGGCATGCACCAGGTCCTATCAATTAAGAAGTTTCACCTAACAGAAGCCAGGAGGCATATCTTCACTGTCACAGCACCTGTCCTGTGGAACAGCATCCCCCCCTGAAATTTGGCTGGTGCTGACTTTGTTGGCCTTTAAGAAGTTCTGAGGAGTCAATCCATTCACTGGCTCTTCTTTCCGCTGCGGGCATCAGCTCCGCTCTCATGGAGCTGTCTTCAATGGCAGACTGAAGACGGCTCCATGAGAGCAGAGCTGATGGCCGCAGCAGAAAGAGGAGCCAGTGAATGGATAGCTCCTTGGAACTCCTCTCCGGATCAAGGAGAGGACTCAGATCATCCACAAGTTTGCTCCATACAGAGGCTCAGCCGTGAACAGACTGCAAAATAGCAATCTCTGGTGGGTTTGAGAACTCTGGGAGCCAGGGGAAAATCATCCAGCCTAAGCTGCGGTTTGGTTCCTTCAAACAAACACTGGGTTTGCCCACTTCCTTTCTTAACTACCTTAGGAAATTGCTTGTTATTGATCTTTTGGATGATAAGAACCTTCTGAAGGCAAGTTTCATTATGCCAGGAGAGCTTCCTTCTATCCTAGATGAAAGAAGTTTCATGTAAGTTTGAGGATTAAAAGGAAAAGTTTTAATTTCTGGAAAACAGGAAAGGAGAGACTAGTATATTGTTTTTTGAAAGTTGAAGGGCCAGGCAAATATTTCCTGTGGATTATTTAAAATTTTATAAAAGTATATATGAAGATTTTGAAATTAACTGTAAGAAATCTTCCCGTGGGAAAGTTTTGCTAATTGGAAAATAAACTTATGATAAGAGGGGACTTTGAAAGTTGACTAGAGGGAACCAAAGAGAACTAAGGATTACAATTAAATGAGAAGAGACCTATCAGTACAATGGAGCAATATTATCTGGCTATAGAAGAAATTAAGGCTGTCTGGGAACAATGTACTCAGAAATTACTTTCAAGATT